AAGTGTTAAGATAGGAGGTTTTTTTTTTTTTTTAGAGGTGCAGCATCTTTAATACAGGTTGCCTTCACCCAGAGGTGAGAGAGCAGGAGGCAGGATTTGGCCCCCATTCCCATCCTTATGCCCCAAAGGGTAAAAACGAACCCCATCTTTCTCATTAATCCTGCTCAGGTCGCAGGGACAATACCTCCCTCTAGTAAGGTCTCAGATCCAAGGAGCCTGGCTCATGACTGAGAAAATAACTATTTTCTTTGGGGGAGTGGGCAGGTGTCTCGTCTCAGAACTTCTGCAGCTGCCTCTTGGTGCCACCAGCCTTGGTGACCGTGAGCACGTCGAAGTGCATGGTCTTGCTCAAGGGCCGGCATTCACCCACTGTGACAGTGTCACTGATCTGGACATTTCCAAAGTGGGGGCAGGTGCACTGACATGTTCTTGTGGTGCTTCTTGAAGCCGTTTGACTTCGGATGTAGTGGAGGTAGTCTCGGCGGATGACAGTGGTCCATTCATCTTGGTCACCACACCAGAATAGATGCACCCTCAGATGCAGACATTACCAGTGAAGGGCGTTTCTTGTCTGTGTAAGTGACCTCGATGGCCTCGCTGGGCGTCTGGAAACCCAGGCTGGTGTTCTCGTGGTATCGCGGCGGCTTCTTGGCCAGTTTCTCCAAGCAGGACCCTCGTCTGACTTTGAAAGGTGGTGGGCTGCTTCTGGTAGGGGCGCACAGTCTGCACATCCACCATCTTCATGGCCGCCTGCAAAAAAGAAGCAAGAAAGGAGGTCTTAAAAGTTCTCATGACAAGAAAAGAAATTGGAACCATGTAATGGTGGATGTTAATCAAGACTTATGTGGAGAACATTTCACAATATATGCAAATGCCTAATCATGTTGCTCTCCTGAAACTGATGTAATGTTATATGTCAATTGTATCTTAAAGTGCTTTTTACAGATTTTGTTTAAAATCTCTTTTAAGAGAGAGGGGAAGGGTAGGAGAAAGAGAGGGAGAGAAACACCGATGTGAGAAATATTGATCAGTTGCCTCTTGGCATGCGCCCCAACGGGAGGCTGGGCCCACAACCCAGGCCCGTGCCCTGAATGGGAATCAAACCAGTGACCTTTTTGCTTTGTGGCACAGTGCCCAACCGTGTCACACGGGTCAGGGCAGTTTAAAAAATTTGAATGTCTTTGCTATAGAATTTGCTGATTTATGGTGTTAATTTTTATTCTCTGTCGTATGTAAAAATATTGACTTCAGAAAGGCAGAGGTTTTTTTATTTTTATTTTTATTTTTATTTACTGATAGAAAACTTGCCTAGAACAGTGCTTGGCACAACGTAGGTGATCAATAAATGGTAAATTGGATGGAATTACCATTGTATTTAAAATAATTGGGCAGCCCAAGTCAAGCTGGCCTGGGGGTACAGAGGCCAGCCTCCTTGCTTCACGGAGCACCAACTCCATGGCACGACTCATGCCCCAGTGCTGGGTGGGGGGGGGATCAGCCTGATCCTGGTCTCCAGCTGAGACACATCCTTGCTTAGTGTGCCCCACCGCTGTCTCCTTTCCTCACTAGTTTTCCCTGAGAGCACTTCCCCAACACGTCACATGGACAGGGCTGTTTCTAGGGACCCCAGCCTGGGACAAGCTTCCATCAGGGGCAGCGGAGAAGTGGCCCAGGCCTGGTGTTCCCCACACAACGTGTCTCGAGAACCTCCCTGCCCCAGCCAGCAGCCAAGGAAGCCGGAGGTCAGCAGTACTGCAGCCAGAAAGTTGGTGGGGTGCCCTGGCTGGTGTGGCTCACCGCATTGCGTGTTGAACTGCAAACCCAAAGGTTGCCAGTTCGATTCCCAGTCAGGGCACATGCCTGGGTTGTGGGCTGGGTCCCCCATTGGGGGGTGTGTGAGAGGCAGTTGATCATTGTGTCCCTCACACATTGATGTTTCTCTCCCTCTTTCTTCCTTCCCTTCTCTCCCTTCCCCAAAATAAATAATAATAATCAAATAAAATAATTGAATTTCTGTTTCACAAAATAAATTATTATTATAATAAAAATAATTTGCATCTAACATTGTTTCAGTGCCTAGCCCCACTGTAGGGATTTCACGTATTTCATGTGGCTTATGTCACTGAATTCTTATAATAGCTACACTCACATGTGTGTAACCCCATCTCATAGACCAGGGAATGGGTGTGGGGAAGGCTGAGTGGCCTGACCAAGGGCACAGACCAGCTCAGTGGTAGAGCCGGATTTTGGACCCCGTACAGCTGACCACCAGTGATTAGAGCCCAGCAAGCTATTCTGCTTTCTGATTTTTTTGGTTAGCTTTGCATTTCGAGTTAAATCTGTCCTACTCATCTGCTCATGGGGGGTTAATGGTTTTTTTTTTACAAAAAAAATAAATGTTATGCTTAATTCTTAGCTGTCTCAGCAAATACGGTGACATAAGGATCAAGTTTTATTTAAAACCTTTTTCATTTAGGAGCTTAGATTTCAGTAACTTAAAAAAAATGACTCATCCCCAAATACTGAATTGAAATGCATTCTTAGAATTGCAGTTTGATAGTCATAAAAGAAGAGCCACCTGCTCCTGTGGACTGTTCTCATTGGAGCCAGTGTTGTGTTGGTTTACTCTCTTGGGTGTTTACTTGCACTTGCAGTTTCTGAGTAGAGTGTGTGTGTGAAATAAAATTACTTTCTGGAAACTAAGGCACAAGTGAGCAACGAAAACTCATTATATTTTCTCCAGGTTTGCTGTTGTTGAGGGGATAGTGGTGCCTAGGATTTAATTGTTTCAAGAAGCCAGGATAAAGGTGATGATAATAACAAATCCTTAACAACTGTTTCTTGTGTGCTGGGCACTCTACTTAAACCTTGAGGTCCATTATCTCATGTACTCCTAAAAGAGATTTCTTGAGGTAGGTACTCTTTACAGTTCAAAACAAACAAACAAACAAACAAACAAACAAACAAACAAAAAAACAGTAAGTGCCTGAGAGGAAGTATGAACATGCCTGCCCAGCCCTGTCTCCGTGAAGAATCTGTATGCTACAGAGAATATATAGTCTTCTAAAAGAACCTACAGATAATGGATAGATGTAGCTGAAATAAGAGATATTGTTACATTTTTATTTGCCTGTTACACTCTTTCCAAGTCTTTTACATTATGTGTTAGATTGAGGGACTTTCAGGAATGCCTTCTACATTAAGTCAAGAGCAGTGCTTGTCAATCTGCGCTGTACTTTGGAATCACTTGGAAACTAACGAAGAAAATGGGGACAGACTCATAGGTGGAGAGCAGGATGACAGCTAGTGAGGAGAGACTCATAGGTGGAGAGCAGGATGACAGCTAGTGAGGAGAGACTCATAGGTGGAGAGCAGGATGACAGCTAGTGAGGAGAGTATGGGCTGGAGGGACTGAGCAAAAAGGAAAAAGGACTTGTGGGCATGGACAACAGTGTGGGGATTGCGGGGGGCGGGGATATAGTGTAATAAATGGTAATGGAAAAAATGTGGCATGATTAAATTAAAAAAGAAAGAAAATACGATTGCCTGAGTCCCTCCTGGACATTAGGATTTTTTAAAGTTCTTTTGTAACTTCAGTGTCTAGCTAGAGTTGAAATCCAAACTTTCTTGCATGTTGGAATCTCCAGGGAGCTTAAAAAACTGATGACTATGCTTCTACTCAGAAATTGTGATTTAATCCTTCTGCTCTGCAGCCTGGAGTCTGGAAGGTTTAAGATTCCCAGGTGATTCCAGTGTGCAGATGGTTCTGTGGACCTGTAGTTTGTGCAGTGGTTTTCAACCTTGGCTGCATGTTAGAATCACCTGAGGAAAATTTACAGCTCTCATACCCCAGGTTTCACCCACTCCAATTAAACAGAATCTTTGGCCGTGTGCCTTGGAGGCAAGAGTTTTGGACACTCTCAAGGTGATTCCAGTATGAAGCCAAAGGTGAGAGCTGTAGGTTTCTTCTTTTTCTCTCTTCTTTACTTTTGGATCAAGTACGTTTAGTTTCTCAATTCAGAACACTACTTTACAAATGAAGGGGAAAGTGAATGGTCTAGATAAGGCTTTTTATTATATACATATGAGGGGATTTCCCCTGCTATGGGAATTATCTTCTGGAGGCAGCCCTCTCATAGTACAGGCTTCCCCAATAGGTGAGTGTTCTAGGAACCCATCTGTACCAGTGTACCAGCTGGCGTTGTTGTGAGAGGCTGTGTTCGGCTACAGTGAATTTTTTTTTGAAGACTCGTTTAATGCATTTGCCCATTTTATGATGGGTGATTTTCGAGCACACCTGCCCACACCTCACTGAGTGTTCACAGTTTTTGACCAAAAATGGCATGAGCTCTATATTCCACCCTTGCTGTTTATCCAATATTGCCCCAATTGACTTTCTTTTTATTTCCCTGGATGAAAAAAACTCCTTAAAGGGAAATATGTTGCTGATGTGAAAGAGGTGAAACAACAAACAGCAGAAGCACCAAAAGATATCAAACTTGACAAGTCCAGAAACTGTTTCGAGCAGTAGAAAAATGTGTCAATAGGTGCATTGCATCAAGGGGAGAGTACTTTGAAGGTAACTGAAGTTTAAACACGTAAAAATAAATACACAATTTTTAAAATAAATTTTGGGTTTTTGGGGGGTCTGCCCTCATATATTGAATTCATTTACTTAGACCAACATGAAAGAATTCAGAGCTAAGCAAATTGTGTTTCAAATTATTAGCAAATAAAGTGAGTTTTGCCTGCTTGTATTGATGTAGTGTAATTAGTACTAAAACCAAGAATGCTGACTGGTGTTTCCCTGTGAGTAATTCTAGATTTGTTTTCCCCTCTGGCCCTCATTTTTTATTATCTGGCTGGTATCAAATATAAATTTGCCCTCTAAAATCAAGGAACCGTTAAGGAGAATGTAAAATTTTTAATTAAGAAAAGTAAAAGGAGTTATCCTCTATTCATGCCTTATTGAGCTTGATCATTTTCACTGTGTTTTCCAGGAGTGCCAGGTGTCAAAGAGGAGCGCTTTAAAGAGGGAATGACAGTGAAGCACTGTGCATTGTCCCTCGTGGGAGAACCCATCATGTACCCAGAAATTAACAGGTTTTTGAAGTTACTCCATGAGCGTAAAATCTCCAGTTTCCTGGTTACAAACGCACAATTCCCGATGGAAATCAGGTAAGGGGTTCAGATTATGAAGATGTGCTGCTTAAATCTGTGGACAGACGCTTGGGTTATTTCCCTGTATGTCTTGGCTGTTGTGACTAATGCTGCGTTCTCCTGAAGATGCTGATTTCATTTCCTTCAGATAAATACCCAGAAGTGGGATTGATACACTTGACAGGGTAAAACTACCTTGTTTTATTATGAGGATTCAGTGAACTGGACAAGAAAGGCGAAACATAGCACAATGAACTTAGTATATGATGCGTACTCAGTAAATGGTAAATAGCTTTCTCCTCCTCCTCCATTTTCCTTCACCTTTCCTCCTAAATTATTTGGCCTGGTGTGAGACGGTCCCCGATTGTCTCAGTTTCTGGTTTTAATAGTACTGGAAGTTTGGGCCACTTTCGTTATTTATTTATTTAGTCCAATAGGGTCCTCAAACTTACTATTTCATCTACTTGATTTCTTACAAACATAAATCCCTCTCTTTGTCTTTCATAGAGATTAGTAGGCTACATCCTTACAGAAAGCAAAAAAGGGAGAGGGATTTTTATGTTCACTTGCAATGCATTTCCATATGTGATCATTTTCAACTTGGATTTAAAATTAGCAGGAGGAGGGGGCATCACAATAGTCATAGAGTTCTCTGGGCATTTTCACTGGGTGTTTGGCTTAGATTGTTTATTCCTTCGTGGCATAGTCCTTTCCATTTGTTTCCAGCAGCAATGTTCTCAGGCACAGGAAGTGTTATGATGCTTTGCAGGATAAAACATTGTCCTGCTTTGGGGGAACTGAAATGATGCTATCTCTGGCCAGGATAGACAAATGACCACCAGGGAGTTAATTGCCTGTCCTGGGGAAGAGGCCTATACCAGGAAGACATTAGATCCCTGAGCTCAGAAAATTTCTCCAAGGTTCTTTTACTGCTGCTGAATGAGCTCTGTAATTCCCTGGGATATTTCCCCTTCTCCATTCTTACCCTGTTCCCCACGAGAAATCAGTAGACTCCTTAATTATAGCACCTTGGGCATTTAGTATTGAAAAAATTTCTTATTGGGTTCCTTTTTTGCAAATGATGGAGGTTTGTAAAATAACTATGGCCTTTGGAATTTACTGTTCATAATCTTAAGTAGTTACAGAGGCATAGTGAAAAGGTCAGGCCAGTTCCCATTTTCCATCCGCAGCTTTATGACAAAATCCTATAACTATCAGATGATGATAGCCAGTAGTATCTATTGATACAATCTTTATTTTTATTTTTTGTGAAATATAAAGTCCTGTTAGGGTATCAAAGCTTATTTGTTGTTAAAGAGGCTTCCAGCAGAATAGTGATGAGACAGAATGCTGCCATTACAATCTGCTATGGTTTTGCATTTCTAGTAATTGATGTCTTTTGCTCAGTAATGACACATTGCTGAACTTCTAAGGGTTCCATTTGTATCTTAGAGTCAAAGGGATTAAAGCAATGAAGAGTCTGCCAATATTTCATCACTTCTTTCTTAACTTTGGTCAGAACTTCTGCACTTTTAATAATTTTGCTTTTATACCCTTAGGATTTTTCCATATGTCACTAAGACAGATCATTATGATAATTCTTTTGCCCTACATGCCACTAAAAGTTCTGTCATCTGAAGTCAACATTATCAACTAAAAAGTAGCTTTCAGTGCCTGCCTGTATGACTGGATAAAAAGAAGAAATGTTGTGCCTGTCCTTTAAAGTCTTACACTCAAAGATTGATAAGGCTGATATTGAGAGACATAAAAGGGCATAAACCATTTTGATGGTGAATTTTATGGTGTGTGAGTTACATCTCAGTTTTTAAAAATGCATAGACTTTGAAATAAAAAATTTCATAAATAAAATTCTAGGGGTAAATAAAATAGTGAAATAGTTAAAGAAAATTAATAGTGGGAGGATTTGGTTAGAGGATATTAAGGGGGAATTTCTTTCTACGTCCAAATGTATTGAAAAGAATGAATTACGAGACCCATTCGAAGGGAGAACAGAGAGGCTTTGGGAAAAGTATAATCTGGGCTTAAAACTGGCAAGAAATCTAGTAGATAAGAATGACATTATGAAATGAGTCAGTGAACTGGAGAGAAATGGAAAATGAGTGGTGTTCTTCCTGGAAACTGATGAAGAAGGCAAAGAAAAATAAGAATCTGCAACATACATTTTTCTTCTGGGCTGTGGCCCTTTGTAAGTGCTGGGTTGCTGCTGTTCCGGCTCTGCGTTGCCTAAAGCTTGTTGAATGGAGCATTGTTTGCCCACAAAGGCTTGGCTGTGAGCCCACTCCGTTCTCAGGCATAGGTGAGGCATCTGTGTGGCTCCGTGCCCTTGAAAGAAGGCTTGTGCTTTCTGGGTTGTTTCTTGTTGCCTTAGAAAATGTCCATCAGTGAATTCATGATGGGAGGTGGTCCATCAGCAGAGACCCCACCTGGTTGTGAAATTTCAGCTGCTTAAGTCTTGAGTGGCAGCGTTTATGGGGAAACTTAGGTCTGAGACCACCCCTGCCCCAACTGTGCTGGACTGATGGTGCCAGACCTGAAGCTAGATCTTGTGTATTTACTTTCCACTAAAACCTAGTGTTTGAAGAGGGAGCAGTTTTAAGTGATTATTAGGGATGGTGCTTGGTCATTTTTTTAAAATAGCCACCTGACACCCCACTGTCACATTATTGAAGTCACCGTGTCAGCCTTCCGGGACAAGCAGAAGCCCCTAGACCCAGTGAAATCTTTAATCACCACACCTGTTACAGATCGTAAGTTTTACATCATGAAAAGCCCAAAATGGGCATAATATTATTTTTTTATTGTTGTGGTTCTTTTCGATTTTAAATCACCAAGGAATCTCACACCAGTCACCCAGCTGTATGTCAGTGTGGACGCTAGCACCAGAGACAGCCTGAAGAAAATTGACCGCCCACTCTTCAAGGATTTCTGGCAAAGATTTCTCGACAGTTTAAAAGCCTTGGCAGCAAAGGTAAGAATTACGACATCTTTAAAAGAAAATCAGATGGAGTAGAGGGTCCTCCCATTTTGTTAAAAAATGTAAGACTAAATGAAATCTTTAATTTTTATTGTTTAATACATATTTGTTGAGTTCTTTTTAAATTTGTAGCTCTCTGCCACTGTGTATAGCCATTACAGTATGCTATTTTGTATTTTTAGTAATTGATATCCTTTACATGTATATATTCCTTCATGTATTTGGGGAGAGAGTAGCAGTTCATAACAACCCTAGAAGAGGTGTCAGCATATAGTATATGTTTAAATAAGAAGTTAATATTCCTGCATTTCGAGAACCAAATTTCCTATATGATAAGGAACTCAACCTCAGAAAGTCCAAACTTGATGTGTTTTCCTGCAGACATTTGGCTGTTATGTGTTCTCTTATAGTAATACTTGCTTTCCTGTTCTTTTAGACCTACAGTAACTTTGTGGTTCTTCTTTTCCGTTAACCTCACATCTCAGTAGTTGGTGTTTTCTGTTAGTTCTATGTCTCTTCCTCTCTTGTAACCATTCCCCCTTTTCTGTTCTCTTTGGTTCTGCCCTCCAGTTCTTCACGCTGTACCTAGATCTGACTGAAAATGAGAATCAGTACAGGAGCTTAAAGTATTAAAATTTCCTATTTCTACAGGGGTTTGAAAATCTGCGTTTGAAACAGCCCAGGTGACTTGACGTGGTGCTAGTTATGGAAGTCACTGAGCCAGCAAATCTGCCTTTCTCTCCTTTGCCAGGAATTAAGGCTGGCATTTCTTACCTGTGGCCCTAGTATACGTTTCCAGTCACTGCACATGATATTCCCTAGGGATGCTGGACTAGCCCAGCCCGCCTGTGTTGCCATTTCTGCAAATGTGCCCAGCACTTTTTCTGAGTCTTTTGTTACCTCTTCAGAGCATAGAATGTCCTTTCCTTCCATGTCTTCAACTTGTAGAAATTCTATGCAACCTTTCAGGCTCAGCTTCATTACTACCTCTACCTTGAAGCCTTTTCCAGTTGCAATTAGCTGCCCCTTTATCCTTTGCTAAGTTTTATATTGGTGAAAATACTTCATTTCTTCTGTTTTATGTTAGCTTCTTTCCCCATCTGGATTCCTTACTCATGTCTGAGGTCCACATGATGTCTAGCATAGCACACTTTATAGTATTTGATAAGTGTTTTTTTTTTTTTAAGTGAATGAATTTGTGGAAACTCACCATAGCTGATGAAATTTAAAAAAATTTATACTGGAGAACTTAAGTCAATGCCATTTTTGGCAGTTAGCACCAACATTATATAAGAATACAAAACAGGCATTACTTTGGTTTCTGATCTGTCTTAGGTTATTTATAAAGCTGGTAGGTTCAGTGCTCCTTGTGTCTCTAAAGTCTCTTTGTTTCTGGACTTCACCTTCAGCCATGTTCTTTTCACTTGTTGCTGAGACAGCAAGTAGATACATGGTATAAAAATCAGAGTGGATTTAGATGGGAATAAACAGCAGGAGCAGGAATGTCAGACACATCTGAGACTTATCTGACTGTATTCTGAGTCAGCGTGGAAGGTGAGAAGTGAGCATTAGCAGAATGGCTTAATAGGGTTGCTTTTTCTCTTTTGGCCAAATTTTCCACAAAGTGAATTATCTTGAGGTTACAAGGTTTTGCATGTTCATTTCTATTGTAAGTACTCTGGGCTGACTCACTGATAGTAATGCAGAATTTAAAGTTCTGCAGTATTTTCTAATCTGTGAGCTTATTACACAGAATATCATTATTGTGCCCATGTAACTTGGGCTATTTAAACTATCTGCCTGTGGCCTTGGCTGGTGTGGCTCAGTTGGTTGGAGCTTTGTCCCATACACCAAAAGGTTGGGGGTTCAATTCCTGGTCTGGGCACATAATGTAGGTTGCGGGTTCAGTCCCCAGTGCAGGCACATATGGGGGCAACCAATTGATGTTTCTTTCTCACATTGATGTTTCTTTCTTTTCCATCCTTTCTCTTTAAAATGAATAAACATTAAAAAGGAAAAAAACCTATCTGCCTACAGATTAGGGCAAGTGCTTTTTAAACATTTTGTAGCAATTAGAGTTTATGTTTGTCATTCTTTATATTTTTTAAAAGATTTTATTTATTTATTTTTAGATTGAGGGGAAGGAAGGGAGGGACAAGGAGAGAAACATCGATTGGTTGCTTCTTGCACACCCCCAACTGGGGAACTGGCCCTCAGACCAGGCATGTGCCCCGACTGGGAATGGAACTGGCAATTTTTTGGTTTGGGGGATGAAGCCCAAGCCCCTGAGTCACACCAGTCGGGCTTTCTTTTCTTTCCTTTTTCTTTTTTTAAAGATTTTGTTTATTATTTATTATTAGAGAGAGGGAAAGGGAGGGAGAAAGAAAGGGAGAGTTATGTTTCTCATTTTTGCATTGTTTATGTTGTCATTTAAGAAAGATTTGTGGCAGCAAGTTACTGTTTAAATAAAAAATTATCTTGAAATTAACTCAAACTATGTTATTTCCTTATGAATATTTGAATATTTGATATTGTTGGTATTTCTGAGTGTTCTTTAATACTCAAATGTGTATGTTGTAACTATGTTAGCTGTGATGAACATATTACTAATATATCTGATATCATTTGAGTATTTAAATAAAAACTTTAAAATAGAAGTGCTCTTTCAGATATTTTAATTAGAACATCTATACTGTTTTGTTACTTGTTTAGTCTTTTAGTGTAGTTGAACAAGGAAAGGCATTTAAGGAGAGAATTTCGTGAACTTTAGAAACAAAACATTTTAATTTGTCTCGAGTTTCACCTTATTTGTGAGCTAGTGCAACGTGAAGTAGGGAAAGGTAGCATATTTTGTTTTTTACTCTTGGAAAATATAATGTTTATTTTTCCAGATATTTATCCTTTGTCAAAATGTTTCTTTTCAAATATGAGGCAAGAAATACATTGATACTTGAGCATGTGGGGCTAAAAAGCAATTTCTTCTAGATAACAGCAAAAAATACGTGTTAGCTTCAGTTTCCATCCAAGGCAGCTGTTTGTCGTGCAGTGCTGTTTTTGAAAAAGAGCAATCCTTGTAGGAGACAGCACCACCCACCTTCGGCAGTGAACTTTCATCAGCAGTGTGACTGGGTGCACTGTCGGCAGTGTTGGGTCAAACCGAAGATCTAGTGGGAATTGAAGTAATTAACCCTTTTCTGTGTTTAAGCAATAACGTGGATATTCTTGAAACTCCATTTTTGAAAATAAAAAGACAAGAATAATTCCCTGCATTATACATTCTTGGTTATCAAAACTGAACGTGAGCCCTCTTTCTACAGATACGAGCATGCTCCGACCTGGCATTTCTGGAGTAATGTGCCATTGTTAAGAAGGGCTTATTGTGCATTAATGAGACAGCTCTATTAAATAGACCAGTGTATCTATGTAGCCCCAATTCTCACATTAAAAAACGAACATTTACTATTAGACCTTTTTATCTCTGATTGTAAAAATATTACACGTTGAGCCCTGGCTGGTGTAGCTCAGTGGATTGAGCGTGGGCCTGTGAACCAAGAGGTTGGCAGTTCGATTCCCAGTCTGGGCACATGCATGGGTTGCGGGCCAGGTCCCCAGTTGGGGGCACGTGAGGGGCAACCACACACTGATGTTTCCATCTCTTTCTCCTTTCCTTCTCCCCTCTCTAAAAAATAAATAAATAACATCTAAAAAATAAAAAAGAATATTACATGTTGATTGTACAAACTTGAGGAAGTAGAAATATAAAGGAGCAAGGTAAGAAATTACCTATAATTCAAGGACCTTGAGATATTTCAAAGTACCTAATCTTTTTGGGGGTGCTGAGGGGGACTGCTTTTTTAGATATGATTCAATTTTATATGCTTTTTGTTTTTGTTGGGTCATAAGCATTTTTCCATGGTATTAAAATTTCTCCGTGACCTTCATGGTATGGATGCTTAGTCCTTCATCTTACTCAGTGTGAGATAATACGTGTGTTATGACCCTTGTTCCTGACAGAGCAGCCAGGACCCGTGCAAATTCCTAAGTGATAAGAGCACTAGGAGCATCTTTAGTCTCAGCGAGGTAGCTCTGGGTGGGCTCCTGTGTGGCTCTTGGATGGAGACTGGTCACCAGAAAGATCAACCCCAAATTAGAAGCTCGATGTTTCTCAGCCCCCTCCCTCCCCTCCCCACTTCTCTAGAGATATGTGGAGAGTGGCTGGATATTAGTGACCAATCGTGCCTACGTGGTGAAGCCTCCATAAAACTCCCAAAGGTGTGGGTTCAGGGAGCTTCTGGGTTGCTGAATGTACAGAGGTGCTGGCAGAGTGGCAGCTCGGGTTGGGCACGAAGCCCCTCAACCCTTCTCTCATACGTCGCCCTACACATCTTGTCCCTCTGGATGTTAATCTGTATCCTTTATCATATTCTTAATCCAGTAAACTGGTGGACAGTAAGTAAACTGTTTTTCTGAGTTCTGTGAGCCACTCTAGCAAATTAATTGAATCACCACAGTAGGGATTGCGGGAACCTCTGATTTATAGCTGATCTGCTTCTGCACGGGTGACAACCTGGACTTCCAGGTTGTCCATCTAAAGTGGGCAGGGGCAGTCTTGTGGACTCAGCTAAGTGGTAGGGTATCCGTTGGTTGTCACATAATTGCTTGGTGTGGGAAAAGCTCCCACGTGTCTGGGTTCAGAGTGTCGTGAATGTGGTAGCAGTGCGAGAGGAAAGGAGAAACACAGAAGACAGCGTGAGTTTTTCCCTGCTTGTTGGTTTCACAGAATCATCAGGGACCTGATGCGGAGGGAGGCTGGGAAATGTGATCTTTTTGCTGAGTGTACTGTGGTCACTGCAGATTCCATGCATTCTGCTTATAAGGAAGATGGGGAGAATGGGTATTGGAAGGTGACTAGCAATCTGCCATCAGCGAGCTAAGCATTACATTCAAATGCTAGATAGGTAACAACAAAGTAAGCCCATTAGGAAAAAGGAAAC